TCTGTCTCCTTATATACTAAGAGAGAGAAGAAGGGCTTATATTTTTGTCTCCTTTTTTCTTTTTTTTTTTTGTTTTGTTGTTTTATTATAAATTTTATTTAAATATTTATTTAATTATATTTTTGCTGCAGGCAAAGGAGACAGGTTAGAGACAAACTGTCTCCTCCCCCCTGTCTCCTTTTCTGTCTCCTTTTCTGTCTCCTTTCTGTCTCCTTTCTTCTGTCCCCTTATTCTTTAACTAATACATTTATTTATTTATTTATTTTTTTATTTTTTTATTTGTTTTTTATTTATTTTTTTATTTATTTTGTTGTTTTCTCTAAACCCCCAACGCAGAGGCCTACAGCCCCCCACCGCCCCAGGCGTAAAGGAGACACAAAAGGAGACAGAAAAGGAGACAGAAAAAAATATAAAAAGAGAGACAGAAATATATATAAAAAAATATATATAAAAATACATAAAAATATATAAAAAAGAGATAGAAAAGGAGACAGAAAGAGATAGATAGAGACAGAAAAGGAGACAGAAAAGGAGACAGAAGAAAAGATAAAAAGAGAGACAGAAAGAGAGATAGAAAGAGAGATAGAAAGAGAGACAGAGAAGGAGACAGATAGAGACAGAAAAGGAGACAGAAAGGGAGACAGAAGGAGACAGAAGGAGACAAAAGGAGACAGAAAAGGAGACAAAAGAACAGATAGAAAGATAGATACAAAAAGAGACAGAAGAGGAGACAGAAGGAGACAGAAAAGGAGACAGAGAAGGAGACAGAAAAGGAGACAGAAAAGGAGACAAAAGAACAGATAGAAAAAGATATATAAAAAGAGAAATAAAAAGAGATAAAAAAAAATAAAAAGAGACAGAAAGAGACAGAAAGAGACAGAAAAGGATATAGATAAAAAAACAAATAGAAGGAGACAGAAACAGAGACAAAAAGAGACAAAAAAAGAGACAAAAAAAGAGACAAAAGAAAACACAAAAGGAGACAAAAAAGGAGACAGAAAAGGAGACAAAAAAAGAGAGGAGAAGAAGAGACAGCTAGGGGACAGGAGGAGACACCAAGAGACACTTGGAGACAGCCTACAGACTGCAGCAACAACAGCAGCAACAGGAGCAGCAACAGCAGCAGCAGCAGCAACAGCAGCAGCAGCAGCAGCATCTCTGCTGCTGAGAACAGCTGCAATTGTTTTTTTTTTTAAGATAAATAAAAAGCCCCAAAACAAATGCATGCAAACTGCAGCAAAAACATGAACTGCAGCAATCAA